ATTATCAAACTCAGTAGCTCACTACACCAAAAATGGCCTTTTGCAACACGCAAAAGGCAACATTCGTTGATTAAATGTTGCTAATGGGGTCTATTGCAACATTTTAGCAAGTGAATGTTGCTATTGGCTTACGTAATGAGATTTCAAAGCATTTTTTAAATAGATGTTTCTAATGTCGCATTTTGCAGCGGTTTATAGATGTTGCGAAAAGTTTAAGTTTTTACAACTTTTTTTAACGTTGTTGAAATCTGGTTCTATAGCAACGTTCAAGGTTTGTTGTTGAAACTCTCGATATAAAGCCTTTTTTGGAACAACGTTGCGAAAATTTCACTTTTGGCAACGTTTTTTGAACATTACGAAAAAATTACTTTTTGCAACGTTTTTTAATTGTTGCGAAAAATTTTGTACTTTTTTCATAAGTTAAAGTATACACAGGCTCAAATGATAGAAACTAAAAAGTGGTAATTACATCAAACCCTACTTTTCAAGATTCAAATTCATAAATTAGATTTCAAGTTTTAATTTTCCAAAATAAGATATTTTATATATAGATACAGTTTTTATATTTAATTAAATATTAATAATAAATTATAAAAATTAATATATACACACACCCCACCCTTCCCCTAAATTCACGTGTCTCACCTTTCTCTCGCTCTCTCCGTCTCTCAGTCTTCTCCTCTCCCTCACCGCCACCACTGCATCGCCACCATGCCCATCGAAATCGTGTCTTCTCCTTCACTCTCCCCTCAGCCTAAATCCTCAGCCACGGTCTCTGCTACTATGAAGTGAAACAACCACCGCGAGACTGTTGAGAAGACGCCACACCACCGCGCTCAAATCCTATTATGTGACCCACGTCGTGCTTCTCTCTGTGTGTGATTTGGAACGGGTCTATGTGGTTTTGATTAATTTGTGACTCTACTTCATCCTACGCTCCTCGTCTTCGGCTAGTTCTATCGCTACAAATCTGGACCTGGTGCCTGATTCTCGCGGATGTTCGGGTCACAGGTTCAAATCCTGGAATTCGAAGCAGCATGTTTGGTAAAACTGGAGGTCTGAATCGCTTTCATCCTTGTCTCTTGCCCTACAATTTTTCTATATTGGTTCATTTTCTTGTTTCTGGAAATCGATTTTAGAGTATGATGAAGGACTTGTATATAGAAATTGAATTGATTGATGAAAATAAGGTGGGTGGTTGTGGAGGCGCCATTGGTGTTGATGGTGGGTTTTATTAGTTGTTGGAGTGGTTTTTATTTAGGCTGTTTTTATTGGTGGTGGTTGGTGTTATGTAAATGGTGGTGGTGGCGATTGTGCAGATTTTGGACCTTTGTTTTGCGGTGGTCG